AAATATAACAACAATTGTTAAGATGGTGCAGGACTGGGCAATGTTTCGTTCTGTTGTACATAGGGTTGCTATGAGTTGGAACCAACTCGACAGTACCTAACAACAACACTATCAGGGTCATTTTTCACTGTCTCACCATGAACTCCCACCTGGTGGTATCATACTTCTTTGCTGTGAAATGAGTTCTTTGATGAGAAGCAATCTTGTGTGAGGCAGTGAATAAGGCTAGGAAAGGCAAATCCATATCCAGAATATGTGTCTATTCCAGTGAGGACAAATCAATGGAAGGGGTTCAATGGAATCAATATCTTTGTGCTTACAAGAATGAAAGCCCTATGAAACAAAGAATGTGTTTACTGCTTTTATCTTCAGTGCCTAGAAAGTTGCATGCCACATAATAGGAACTCAGTTATTTATTTGCCAAGAGAAAGAACACACTTGCTATGTGTTCTATAGCACAAAGAATTTTCAGGTATTTTTCTTCTGTTCCTTGGGCTATGTTTTCTTCAAGATGAGCTCTTCATTTTCTTTTGCAGACTATATTCTGTCTTCCCTTTCCTTTCTTCTGTGTCCTCTTGTTCCCTTTGCAATAGAATGTATATATAGTTTCTGTGCTACTTCTTTTTTTTAATAGCTTTATTGAGATATAATTTATATGTCATAAAGTTCGATCCCTTAAAGTATACCTGGCTTCTTTCATTTAACACAATGTTTTTCAGATTTATCCATGTTGTAGCATGTTTCATTCGTTCATTCCTTTTTGTGGTCAAGTAATATTTCATTATATGGATATACTACATTTTGTTTATTCATTATTCATCAATTGATGGACACTTTGGTTGTTTCTTTTTTTTATGTATCTTAATTCTATGAACAAGTTTTTGTGTGGACATATATTTTCATTTCTTTTGGGTGTCATACCTGAGAGTGAAACTGCTGAGTAATATTTCAAAGAACTGCCAGACTGTTTTCCAAAGTGGCTGTACTCATTGTATATTCCCACCAACAATGCAGGAGTGTTCCAATTTCTCCACATCCTTACCAATACTTGCTATTATCTGTCTTTTTTATTACAATCATTCTAGTGAGTGTGAAATGGTGTGTCATTTCTTTTTATTTTGTTCATGCTTAATGTGCACAACTTCATGGTATCATATAAATAATTTCTATTTATTTTTCCTCTCTGAGGAAGTTTGAAAGTTATTTATTGTGTTCTGTTTAATATTCCGTAGCCTGATAGACAGGGGTGAGGCCCAGGGAAGAACTCAGCTGAGACTGTATCTGTAATAGAATATCTGGTCTCTGGCCTCTTTATGAAGATTTTCAAAATGTCCTAGTTTTCCCTCCCCTGGGTAGGGAGTGATTTCATGACCCATGGGGGTCAGCCTTGGGCTTTGGGCCTTTCCTCTGGTTTTGCATGGAGCCTTCACATCCATCAGAGAATCAGTCCTGGTTGTCCACTTGCCCTCTCCCACTTACCTCTTCCCAGCAGCCATGTCACTTGCCCCAGCAGTAGCAGTGGAAAAGATAAGGTATCTTTCTTCTCCCAATTAATCAGTTTCTCTCACCAGTGAGAGTTCCCAGATTTTGCTGATTCACCTGGACCATTTGTGGAGTAGTCTTGCAGACCTGATTTTTTTTTTCGCTTACTTGTCTTTTTTCATGTTTTTTACAGTCAGTTGTTTGTCTGCTGCTCAGGTTTGCTCATTGCCAGGAGGAGGTGCTGGTTTTTGCTACTTTGTTCATGTCATTAAGTGTTTGAAAAGGGAGATGCTGTGATCAAGCCACGCTCTATCACTTTCCCCAGAAGTTCTCAGCAACACTTTTAGATGGTTATTAGCTTATTCCTAGAGATTTCTCATTATTCATTCATCACACAAATAGGCACTATGTGTCTACTGTATGTCAGGCAGGGCTCTGAAAGGTACAGCAGAGAACCACAGAGCCCTGCCCTGTGGAGCCTCTTAGTAAACTATGTCCACGTATCTCAAAGTTTCCTTATTTTGCATAAAGACAAAGTTGTGTTTATAGAAGACATCTTCAATAGTCACGTGCCATGTAACAGCCATGAAACATCCAACTGCGTATATGTCCAAGGTTGGGCACGTGCCCTCCGGGGGATGCCCATGGCCCAACTCGGCAGTGAGCCTACCCAGCTGCTCCCCACCGGTGGGAACAGGCGCTCCTGCCACTGGGAGGAGTGGGCACCCAATTCTGCTCCCAAGCACCCAAGGTCGGAAGGTATCAAGGGGCCCAGCTATTGCCAAAACCACTCCTCTGCTGCCCCGGCCTGTGCCCAGTCTCCCTGCCGTGAACTTCACAGGGCTGCGGGAGTGTAAGCTAAGCAGAACTGGCCAAGCACTCACCTGAGGCGTCTGCAGTGGAAGCTGCCCAGGCCACGCACCACACAGCAGCCCCCCAGCCTGTGCACCCGGCAGACCCGTGCCCCACAGACCCAGGTGTTCGCACAACATCCAAATCACATAAAGTCCTATTTTACAGAACATGTTGTGGATGTTAAGCAACACGTGACTGTACTTCAACTCTAAGAATTTATACCAAATGCACCTAAGTTATTGAATTAACTTACATATCTTCTAACATTCTTGCGACACTTCATACTCTCGTAAGTGCTGTCATCAGACACAGCGTGGACAAAGGGAAGCTTAAGAAAGAAGAAGTGTGAAGGAATCAGCCCGCATTTTTAAACTCTCCCAATGTTGCATCAGATACAGTTCATTTTCCACCCACTGCTTACATGATGAACTAAAATCATTTGCAGATTCCTTAGCTGAAGACGTGCCAAAAATAAATCCATTTGTGGAAGAAGGCATAAAAAAATAACCCAGGGAAACAAAGTTGAATGGCATAGAGACATTTTTACATTTTTAAATTGTGAAGCATTGAGATTGTTTTTAGAATTTCTTTTTATAAGCACCATAAATCAAAGCTGCTCCTTACCAATTTACAGAAATCTGATTAACTTGGTGCTACGGCCAAATATGGACTCGAAGCCCATTTCTGCATATTATCTCCCTGCAGCTACCTTCACAGCCCGTCCCTGCAATCATCACTCCCACATGAGCCCTGACACTATGGCATCGACTCACTCAGCAAACACATTCAAGAGTCACTGTGTTTAAGGCATTGTGCCAGGGACAATGGGGGGAGATAGAAATAAATTAACAGCACGGACAATGAGGAATTACTGGGGCAGGTAGAAGAGTGGCTGACAAAGCAAGGTAGGGATTCTTAAGCTGAAGTAATGACACATGGCCTGCTGCAGTGATAAATTCTGCATTTCCAGAGAAGCTTCTGCTGGGGTTGACTGATATGAACTCTCAAGGTCCCAAGCTGTGAAAACAGGTTCCCTATCTAACATCCCCTAGTCAAAGCTCAAGGCACAAACAGCCCGGAGGTAAGACCTAAACGTGACATTCTGCTGCCAGCAGAGGCCCACAGATTTGACAGATCACATCCAACCTCCCCAGTACCCTTTGAAAGTAGTTTTATTACAATTTCTTTTAGGGGCCATGTACAAATTCATCTCCTGAAAATTAGCTAATGAAAAGCTATGGATCACAACAGAATATTACGATATAGTGCTGGAAGATGAGCCTCCTAGGTTGAAAGGCACTACACCATAGCCGCAACAATGGACTCAAGCATACCAACGATTGCGAAGGTGGCGCAGGACTGGTGCAGTAGGGGAAAAACATCATAAAGTTGAGTAAAGCAAAAAGTAAGTTTTATTTGGCATATATTCAAAAGGGCAGAAGTGGGAAATGGACAACCATGCTGCCAGAGCCATGTCTGTCCAAGTTCAAGGAAATACCACAAGAGAGACAAAAGCGGGAAAATGGATACCCATGCTGCCACAGCCATGTCTGCCCCAGTCCAAAGAATATTACAAAACAGGCAAGAATGGGGAAACAGACAAGCATGCTGCCACAGCCATGTCTGCCAAAGATCAGTTACAGAGCCATCGGTATATATTAACATTACAAATAGGCAAAACCATTGAAAGCTTAGCTTTTCAGATTAGCTAGAAACTGTGATCCTACATTTTGAATAGTCCTTCTCAACAATCATTGGTACAGGTTTCAGTTAACAAGAGTCAGGAGGGTCTTCATTTGTCCAACAAATTTCTGTTCACTAAATGCTAATAGAAAAAGATAAGAGTGGAAAGTCTTTTGTGTTGTTTGATTGGCTTTATGTGAAAGTTTCCCTAAAAGACATTTTCCAAGAGTATCTTAGCTATTGTCTCAGGGCCCGGTTGATGTGTCCTTGTGAGCCCAGCTCCAGCTGGGTCATATTCTCTATGCTCAACGAAAGGAAACAATAACTCCAACATTATTTCCTAAATCACTGGGCAATATTTCGTTCTATAGTACATAAGGTCACCATAAGTCAGAACTGACTTGACAGCAACCGAGTTCATCATTCATAAATTAAAGCTGTCTTTGGAAATCAAGTATTTCCTGCTGGTTCTGAGAAGTCCATCAGCTCCACCAAATCCTTTGTATGAAGTTTCTCTCATCTGCTTACATCCTTTAGCTGTGCAAGCTTTTTAGGATGTGAGAACAAGTTCATTCATACATGACCCTTTCAAGAATTCTGAGCCTTTCAGCTTTCACCTTTTTGCATTATTAAATTCAGGCCCCATAGCCATAAAGAGATCAATCGTCACAACAGCTGCTCCACATGTCGTCTCTGAGCTGCGTGCACAGCCGGTGACTTCCCACCACGTCCTGGCTCCGTCTTGTGCGGCAGCTCAGCACGGAAATGCTGGCGATTTTCTCCCGCAGATAACATGGAAGACTTCAGGGGCAATTTTTATTACCGTTAGCAACGGGGCTGCTTCCTTGCAGTAAACACGACCTCTTCTAAGAAATAACCTGCTCGACCCAGAAAGTCTCCTGTACCCTTAATGGGAAAGAAAAAGTGCATGTTTGCCCTTGAAAAGAAACATACAAGGAAAATGGGCTACCGCCATCCTGAAGCACTGCCTGTGCTCTGTGACAAGTTCCTAGAAAACAGCTTAAGATTGGCCGTTTCTGAAATATAAGGTGAAGCACATATAATGAGGATGCGCCACCTAATGACCAGAGCTGGAAATGTTACTCAGCTATACCAACACCTCTCATCAGAAAAGATTCTGTGCTCACGTTCAATTCCCCTTTCAAGTAAACGCCAATTAATAAATAATTTCATGAAGAAAATGTTTTCTGCCCATGCAATTTATGGAGATATTCCTGAAAGATATTTTACAGCTTCTAGATCTGATAGGTTGGTTAACGGTGTTCTTGTTTTTAATACATGCAGATATTTAGAAAATAATACTTGGATTCTGCTTAGGAGGCTGACAACATTTGAAAATGGATGGTGGTGATAGTTGCACTACTTGGTGAATATAATTAATGTCACTGAACTGTATACTTAAAAATGGTTAAAATGACAAATGTTTTGTTATGTATATTTTACCACACATACACAATACTCAGATACAAAATTTGAAAGGAAAAATGCTAAATATTTTTAAATGTTTCAAGAGAAATACTGAGTAAAACCCACTTTGGATTAATAACTGTTTCTTTCTAATAAATGGTGTACAACAGATTTATAAAGACTCAAAAACATTTTTGACAGCAGGATACATTTTTCTAATACTTTCACTGTGTGTCAATAAACCAGCCAGTTATGACTACTTCTGTTGGAATGGTGTAATGCCCTGAAAAATAAACTTTATACTTAATAAAGATGTTATGATTATTCAAGATAATATTTAAATATAGAAAATATAGAGAATACAGACCTACAATATTTCTTAAGGTAACTTGTCATTTTATTAGTTTTTCAGTACTTGTACAACTATTTATATTACTAACAAAACTCAAACCACAGCATCGAGACACAGAAGTTCTACAGCTTACTTGAAACAGTTACAGATAAAGACCAGAGTACGTAGATATTATACTGCAGAACTTAAAGATGGCTGAAGTTTAGGTAGATAACTTTATTTAGCTAACAGAATAAAAACACTTTGGACTTTCTGAAATCATAGCTGAAGACCTTTTCAAGGCAGATTACATTCAGGCCAGAGATAGGTAACAGACTTTTGACTTAAGCAATACAAAACTAAAGTCACAGGCATGAAATGGATTTTCAATCACTGCAGAATCTGTTCTTCTAGTTTAACTAAGCAAGTTTAAATTTTTTCACAGAAAAAAAATATTTCAGGCAAGCAAAAATATATTCCAAATAAACATGGTTCAATGACTTTTTACTTATTTCACCTTGATTAAGGCAGGCAAAGTACAGATACTGTACATTAAAAACAAACACATCACTATATGTCACATTACTTTCTACAGGCAAAAGGACTTTTTCTAAGCGGCTCCTCTCTGAAGCATACCTGAAGAATATCATAACCAGTTAAATGTACAAAGAACCATCTGCTGGACCGACGTAGCCAACTCCAATTAGCAACACATCTATTAGCGTCCATATTCCCAGGCCACCAAAGCTGAAGAGCTTGCCGAGGCCCTCCCGCCACTGGCCCAGGTAGAAACGGTCAGCTCCAAATCCACCGAGGGTGATGCTGCAACATAAAACAAGCAATTCATAAGACCTTCTCCAAATCAACAGCAGCCAACCTGTGTTTCAGTAACTGTACTAAATAAATTTGTGAAAAGGCCTCAGAATATTATCAACTTTAACTATAACACAAATGATTATTTCACAATTTTATACTATCAGATAATCAAAGGTAAGACTTTTTAAATGTCAAAAGTAAACATACTTTTTCGCTGTACTGAAATCTAAATGTTTTCTCCTTTAAAGATAAAGAACTGATCTTGCAGCTTTTTAATCTTGAAAATGGTAGATTCAAGAGAACAAAGCAGGAAGCCCACTCAACAGAAAGACATGGAAGTAGGAGTCAGGAGCTGGAGTCAGCTCAGACACAATCCAGGTGACCAGGATCAAGGTCTCTAACTTTTTCAGTCACTCATCTCTAAAAATTTTGTGTTTGGAATAACTGACTTCTAAGGTTCTTTCGAATCCTGAAATCTAATATTAGGACAACTTTTCATTGTATTTCTTTTTAAGTTTTTCTTATTGAAAATTTCAAACTTATACAAAGGTAAAAAAAGAGAACCGAACCCATGACTCAGCTCCAACAATATCGATACGTAGCCAACGCTGGTCCGTCTATACCTTCACTCCTCCCCTACCTCAGACTTTTTGAAGCAAACCTGCATATTATATCACATACAGTAATTATTTTTAAAGATACTATACTGAACTCTGAGAAGAAAACTATTCTTAATTTTTTTAAGTTGTTAAATGTACCATGGTAATGTAAGAGGTGAATAGTAAGATAAGCTGGGTGAGGGTTGTATGGGAACTCTCCATTACCTTTGCAACTTTCTCTAAATCTAAAATTATTAAAAAATTACAAGTATACTTAAAAAAAGGAAGCAGATGTTAAATTCTAGTCTGAACCATTTCTGACAAAGACTGTAGCCACTTACCTTATTTTTGTTATTTTCTATCTTGGACTTCTCGTTTACTGATATATTACACCTTTCTGCCAGGCAGGACCCTTCTCCTTCCCCAGCTCAAAACCTAATGCAATGGTTCTCAATAAAAGGCGACTTTGCTGGGACATAAAGTGATACCCGTGAGGAGTGTGCCTCTTAGCTCAAGTAGACACAAGAGACTAAACGGGCAGCTTCTGTCCACAGCAGAGATGGGAAGGCAGAGAGGGTTGGCAGCTGGTTGAATGGACATGTGGAATCAGGGGTGGAAAGGAGGAGTGTGCTGTCATACTATGGGGAAAGCAGTTAGGGTAACAAGGTATTTATAAATTTTTGTATGGGAGACTAACTTGAAATGTAAACTTCATTTAAACTACAACAATAAAAAAAACTACAAAAAAAAAAAAAAGGCGACTTTGCCCCCTCGGGGACATCTGCAATGTCTGGAGACAGCTCTGACTGTAATGACTAGGAGTGCTACTGGCATCTAGTGGGTACAGGCTAGGAATGCTGCTAAACATCCCACAGTTCACAAGACGGAATCCTACAACACAGAATTATCTAGTCCAAAATGTCAACAGGGTGAAAAATCCTGCCCTATGCTAGTCTGCAAACCTCAGAGATCTGGGGCTGCAACTCTATGCCTTCAACTCTAGACGGCACAACTTTTTAATTTATAGGTGATTTTTCATGTTTTTTCTCTGTCATTTTCATTTTTCTTTCCAGGTTTTCAGCATTAAGCATTACATTATTTTTTATAATAAGAAGGAAGTTACTAAAAAATAAAAATGTTGTTAGGTGCCATGGAATCGGTTCCAACGCATAGCGACCCTATGTACAACTGAATGAAACGCTGTCCAGTCCTGTGCCATCCTCATGATCATTGTTATGTTTGAGCCCACTGTTGCAGCCACTGCGTTGATCCATCTTACTGAGGGTCTTCCTCTTTTTTGCTGACCCTCTACTTTACCAAGCATGATATCCTTCTCCAGGGACTGCTCCCTCCTGATAACATCTCCAAACTACGTGAGACGAAATCTCATCATCCTCAGTTCTAAGGAGCATTCTGACTGTACTTCTTCCAAGAAAGATCTGTTCATTCTTTTGGCAGTTCATGGTATAGTCAATATTCTTTGTCAACACCATAACTCAAAGGCATCAGTTCTTCTTCACTGTTCTTATTCACTGTTGAGCTGTAGCATGCATATTGTTGTTGTTAGGTGCTGTCAAGTTGGTTTTGACTCATAGCAACCCTATAGGACGGAGTAGAACTGCCCCATAGGGTTTCAAGGAGCAGCTGGTGGATTTGAACTGCCAACCTTTTGGTTTAGCAGCTGAGCTCTTAACCACTCCACCACCAGGGCTCTGTATGCATATTAAGCAATTAAAAATACCATGGCTTGGGTCACGTGCACCTAAGTTCTCAAAGTGACATCCTTGCTTTTTAACACTTTAAAGAGGTCTTTTGCAGCAGATTTGCCCAATGCAATACGTTTGATTTCTTGACAGCTGCTTCCACGGGTGTTGACTGTGGATCCAAGTAAAATGAAATCCTTGGCAACTTCAATCTTTTCTCCATTTATCATGATGTTGCTTATTGGTCCAGTTGTGAGGATTTTGTTTTCCTTATGTTGAGGTGTAATCCATACTGAAGGCTGCAGTCTTTAATCTTCATCAGTTAAGTGCTTCAATTCCTCTTCACTTTCAGCAAGCAAGGTTGTGTCATCTGCATATCACAGGTTGCAAATGAGTCCTGCTCTAATCCTGATGCTGTGTTCTTCTTCATATAGTCCAGCTTCTCAGATTATTTGCTTAGCATACAGACTGAATAAGCATGGTAAAAGGATACAACCCCAACGCACACCTTTCCTTACTTTAAACCATGCAGTATCCTCTTGTTCTGTTTGAACGACTGCCTCTTGGTCTATGTACAGGTTCCTGATAAGTACAATTCAAAGTGTTCTGAGATTCCCATTCCTCACAATGTTATCCATAATTTGTTATGATCCACACACAGTCGAATGCCTTTGCATAGTCAGTAAAATACAGGTAAACATCTTTCTGGTATTCTCTGCTTTTTGCCAAGATCCATCTGACATCAGCATTGATATCCCTCATTCCACATCCTCTTCTGAATCCACCTTGAGTTTCTGGCAGTTCCCTGTCAATGTAGTGCTACAACCTCTTTTGAATGATCTTCAGCAAAATGTTATTTGTATGTAATATTAATGATATTGTTCGATAATTTCAGCATTCTGTTTGATCACCTTTCTTTGGAATGGGCACAAATATGGATCTCTTCTGGTTAGTTTGCCAGGTAGCTGTCTTCTAAATTTCTTGGCACAGACTAGTGGTTGCGTCCAGCATTGCATCTGTTTGTTGAAACATCTCAGTCGGCATTCTGTTAATCCCTGGAGCCTTGTCTTCCACCATTTCCTTTAGTGCAGCTTGGACTTCTTCCTTCAATACCATCGGTTCTTGATATGCTACCTCCTGAAATGGCTGAACGTCGACCAATTCTTTTGGTACAGTGACTCTGTGTATTCATTCCTTCCATCTACTTTTGATGCTTCATATGTCGTTCAATATTTTGCCCATAGAATCCTTCAATACTGCAAGTCAAGACTTTAATTTTTTCTTCAGTTCTTTCAGCCTGAGAAAAGCCAACCATGTTCTTCTCTTTTGGTTTTCTAACTCCAGGCCTTTGCATATTTCATTATAATACTTTGTCTTCTCGAGCTGCCCTCTGAAATCTTCTGTTCTGTTCCTTTTACTTCATCATTTCTTATGTTTGTTTTAGCTACTGTATATTCAAGAGCAAGTTTCAGAGTCTCTTCTGATATCCATTCTGATCTTTTCTTTCTTTCCTATCTTTTTAATGACCTTTTGCTTTCTTCATGTACGATGTTCTTGATGTCATCCCACAACTTGTCTGGTCTTTTGGCCATTAGTGTTCAATGAGTCAAGCCTATTCTTGAGATGATCTCTAAACTCAGGTGGGATATACTCAAAGTTGTACTTTGGCTCTCACGGACTTGTTTTAATTTTCTTCAGCTTTAACTTGAACTTGCATATGAGCAATTAATTGTCTGTTCCACAGTCAACCCCTGGCCTTGTTTTGACTTGTTCTTTCCACAGTGAATTTGATTCCTGTATATTCATTCCACCTGGTGAGGTTCATGTGTACAGTCACTGTTTATGTTGTTGAAAAATGGTATGTCCAATGAGTAGGTTGCTGGTCTTGCAAAATTCTATCATGCAATCTCTGGCATAGTTTTTATCACCAAGGTCATATTTTTCAACTACTGATCCTTCTTCTTTGTTTCCAACTTTCGCATTACAATCACCAGTAATCTCCATCAATGCAATGCATTTTGATTGCAAGTTTGATCAATTTTGGACTGCAGAAGTTGGTAAAAATCTTCAATTTCTTCCTCTTTGGCATTAGTGATTGGTGCATAAATTTAAGTAATAGTTGTATTAACTGGTCTTCTTTGTAGACATATGGATATTATCCTATAACTGACAGCACTGTACCTCAGGATATATCTTGAAATGTTCTTTTGATGATAAATGTGACACCGTTCCTCTTCAATTTGTTATTCATGACATAGTAGACCATATGACTATCGATTCAAAATGACCAATACCAGTCCCTTTCAGCTCACTAATGCCTAGGATATCGATCTTCAAGCGTTTCATTTTATTTTTGACAACTTCCAATTTTCCTAGATTCAGACTTTATACATGGCACATTCTGGTTATTAACAGATGTTTGCAGCTGTTTCTTCTTATTTTGAGTCATGTCACATCAGTAAATGAAGGTCCCCAAAGCTTTACTCCATTCATGTCATTAAAGCTGACTCTACTTTGAGGAGGCAGCTCTTCCCCAGTTGTATTGAGTACCTTCCAACCTGAGGGGCTCATCTTCTGGCACTATATCAGAAAATGCTCTGCTGCTATTCATAAGGTTTTCACTAGCCAATTTCTCTTAGAAGTAGACTTCCAGATCCTTCTTCCTAGTCTGTGTTAGTCTGGCACTCTGCTGAAATCTGTCCATCATGGGTGACCCTGCTGGTATTTGAAATACTGCTGGCATAGCTTCCAGCATCACAGCAATACGTAAGCCACCACAGTACAACAAACTGACAGACAAGTGGTGAAAAAATTTAAAAATACACATTGTAAATCTACCTATTTTAAATCATCTGTGGTGAAGAAGTTAGGCATTTTCCAATTCATAGTACATTTAGGATTAGAATTCCTGATTGGTTCTAATAATCAATAATAATGGCTCAATTGTGTCATCTCTGGAGTGCACAAGCATCTTGGGAGAAAAGCTAACATTCCTGCCGTTAAATTACACCAAGGCACTGCTCTGGTCATCTAAACATCTCCCTGTAGCCCTACATTTCCCAGAATGTATATGACACACGTGGTAGGACCCAAGTCAAGGAGTAGCTTGGCTGAGCTCAGTTTTGGAAAATTCTGCTAATCCCATAGAAATCAAATGGCATCTTTAACATATACTGGTAACAAAGCTTACCTTAGAGCCAGAGCAGTAGACCATTTATAACCTCCAGTCCAATTGCAGTACAGCATTTTGGGAAAAGTACGGTTACCTTAAAAAGAGGAAAATATTCCACATAGAAATACACAAATACTCTGACACAGAGACTTTACTGTAAGTAATGGCCTCATAATTTTAAATATAAAAAAAATCAACTCTTTTTATAAGAATCTCTATAAATATTATTAAGAACATATAGTAAAAAGAAAGTCTTTACCACCTATAAGCATAGATTTAATGTTTAAACCAGTTCAGTAAGGGTTACAGCTTAATGAATGTAAAATGTCTTACCAGATATCAAGACTCACGATAAAGCTATAGTAATTAAGCCGGTGTGGTACTGACATATACAAATCAGTCCATCGGAAAAGGAGATCACAGAAAAAGAACAACGGACATTTAAACACTTCATGTATGACAGAGGTCATGTTGTAGATCAAAAGGGAATAGGTACTGAGACAATGGTTATCCATGTGGAAAAATAAGTGAAACTGAATCCCTACCTCAAACCATACACCAAAACCAATTCCAGGTGGATTAGAGACCTAAATGTAAAAGGCCAAACTTAAAATTTTTAAAAGAAAATATAAGAAATTATGATTCTGAGGTAGGAAAATATTTCTTAAACAATAACCAAAAAGTGTAAACTAAAAAAGATTAATAACTTCCAGTCATTAAATTTAAAAGTTCTGTTCATCAAAAGATACCATAAAGAAATGAAGACTCCATGTGGAGTAAGGGAGAACGCAGAAAACCAAAGACACAAAGGAAAGATTAGTCCAAGGGACTAATGGATCACAACTATCACAGCCTCCACCAAACTGAGTCCAGCATAACTAGATGGTGCCCAGCTACCACCATCGACTTCTCTGATACGGATAACAATAGAGGGTCCCGGACAGAGCTGGAGAAAAATGCAGAACAAAAGCGTAACTCACCAAAAAAAAAAAAAAAAAAAAGACCAGACTTACTGATCTGACAGAGACTGAGAAACCTGAGAGCATGGCCCCTAGACACCTTTTTCGCTCAGTACTGAAAACACTCTTGAGGTTCACCCTTCAGCCCAGGGACAAGGACAAGAAGGCAGAAGGGGACAGCAAAGCTGGAAGAAGAGAAATGGGGAAACCAAGGTCGAGAAGGGGAGAGTGCTGACACGTCACAGGGTTAGCAACCAATGTTTCAAAACAGTATGTGTATTAATCGTTTACTGAGAAACTAATTTGCTCTGTCACCCTTCACCTAGAAGCACAATTTAAAAAAAGGTCACTATATGAAAGAGGGCTTTCAGGGAAACCAAATAATTAGTATCCAAAATAAAAACAAATTCCTAGAAATCTCTAAGAAAAAGATAAAAATTAAGAAGGACAACAAGTATTAGAGAGAATTTGGATTATTAAGAACTATTGTGTCCTACTGGTGGGAATGTAAATAGATACAATCATTTTGCAAAATGATATATGTTAGAGAATATATACTACCTAACTCTTACACATGTGCAATAAATATGTACAAAAACTTTAATCGCAGCACAGTCTGTAACAGCAAGAAATTATACCTATTACAAATACACAGGAGAATGCATAAACTGTGATAAAATCTTACAATGGGTTATTATAGAAGGCAGAGCAACTGGATGAAGGAAAAGTACCCAGGCAGTTACAATAGTGTTGGTACTATTTTAGCTAATTTGGTTAAAATTCAATTACTGTGATTATGCTTTACAGCTTACATACTTTTCCTTTTATCAAATATTACATTTAAAAATATAATAAAAGAAAAATACATGAGGATAATAAGTTTTGTTTAGCCAATAAAGTTTTAAAACGCAGGATAGTTTAAAAACTTATGAAGTGCAAATCTTCTGGATGCCTTTTATAAAGTTCATCAATGAGGCCTGGAATAACTAAAAGGCTGCTGATAAAATAATTTAAATTTAATCCTCAAATCTCAGATTACAGTTAAGTAAACTTAGAGAAACAACGTTTTGCTCACACACGTCCTGAAACTCTCTGCCTGAACTCTGACTTACCCAGGCAGTGAACGTGGTCCCGCACTGTGCAGTTGGCAGCATACCGCTGCCGAGGACAGGACACTGTCATGCAGCTGGTGGAGTTGGAACACTCGTAATCTGTTTCTGGAAGCTGCCAGCAAAATCTGCAAGTCATGTTGATGATGAAGTTCTTTTGGGATCTGGACTCTTCATTCTATATACCAAAGGACACAGAGTTAATAAATCATAAGACAGTAATTTGTTAATATGTCAATAAAACTAAACAGTCATATGACACAAAGCTTCTAAAACACTTATAACTTGGTACTAAATATCAGAAAAAGAGGTACCAAACAATATGTGTAAGCAAAACAAGTACATATGGTATGATCCTATAATCATAAAAATATACACCGAAAAATACATGTCTAAAAAAAGTAGATAAATTCACAACAAAATGTTAACAAAGGTTATTTCAGATTACACCACACTTTTGCTTAAATTTTCAATAATGAGCATGTGTACTTCTGTTAATAGAGAAAAAAGAAATAAAAACTTGTTTTATAAATCCATAGGGCCACTGATAGCTGGAAGGAATATGTAAGTGCATGTGTTTAAGGTCACTGAGCTACAAGTTGTGAGTAGAACTCAGATCCCCTAACCACCAGCCTGATGTTCCTGTATGTACAACACACTGTTATGCATCTGAGTCCCCATCTTCCCTAACACCTCCAATCATGGTCCAGCCCAGCACTCCAGGTCTATTACTGCTGCTCCCACCTCCACGAGCACCAGCATGACCAACCAACAGGTAGATCATAGAGAATCACCCTCAACTAGGAAAATCCACAAGACATGTAAGGGGCTCAGCAAGTGTTTACTGCTGGCCCTTAGTTTCTGAGACCAGAGATTTGGCTTTTTTCAATTCCATTTAAAATGTTTTTCTTTTGTTTTGTTTATAAAACAAAATAATCTGTAACCTCTCCAGAGATAACCATTTTTAATCTTCTTTCAATTTTTTTTGTTTATACGTTTACATAACTGGAATCATACTGAAAGCATTTTGTATCCATTTTTAACCCCACTTCACATTATATGGAGCCCTGGTGGCGCAGTGGTTAGCAGCTACAACTGTTAACCAAGAGGTCGGGACTTCGAATCCACCAGTTGAGCTTTGGAAACCCTATGCGGCAGTTCTACTCTGTCCTATAGGGTCGCTGTAGTGAGAATTGATTGGACAGCAACTGGTTTTGGTTTTCACATTACATAACCAAAAACCCAAATCTGTTGCTACTGTGTCAATTTTGACTCACAGTGACCCTACAGGACAGCACAGAACTGTCCCATAGGGGTTTCAAGGCTGTAATCTTTACGGAAGCAGACGAGCCTCATCTTTCTCCCGTGAAGTAGCTGGTGTGTTCTAACCACCGACCTTTTGGTAAGCAGTGGAGCACTTAACCACTGTGCCACCGGGGCTCCTTATTCACGTTATATAGTAACATATTTTTCAAAATCATTTTAAACGGTCACACAATCATCTCTGGAAGTTATCATATTCATTATTTTGATCAATGCAAAACTGCTTTTTATGGATAGTGTTTAAAACTGGGTAACGCACCACCTGATTGAGGTTACATTGTTTTTTATATGTCCGCATATTTTTAGTGATGCATTCAGAACAGTTTACAAATTATGTTTTTGAAAACTAGGTAATACATACACATGGTACAAATTTCACGACACAACAGGAAGGTGAAGAGTAAGCCTGCCTCACCTGGCCTCCAGGCCCCTGGCCAGCCTCTGCCCTCCCAGCGCTTAGCACTGCTCACCTGTACCTGCTTACTAGGACCCCATGCACTTCCAGGGACAGTCTATTCTAGTCTGTACACATGGACATTTGTATCATATTTCCTTTTTAAAATTTTAACTTTTCCACTGATTTTTACTCACTTAATTTTGAAGTTATCAGTACATATCCCTAGAGCTGCCTACTTCTTTTTAATGGCTGCAATGTATTTACTCTATTACATGGGTGCATGATCATTTAAAATGTTATCTCTTGGACTTTTAGCTTGTTTCAAATCTTCTGCTTTGATGAACAGTGCTACTAGGAATATCCTTATCACACTTATTTACGTCCATGTGCAAGAATATTTGTAAGAATTGTAGATATGGAATTGCTAGGTCAAAGACTATATGCGTATGCTTGCCAGAGATGACAAATTGCCTCCAACAGGTTCAATCCTTTGCCCACTCACTAACTTGTCTTCTTATACCCTCACTCAGAGTGTTATCAAACTTTATTATTTTTTTTACCACTATGATAGGTTAAAAATGCATTTGTTTGTATTTAATTATGAGAAAAATTAAACAATGTTTTCATGTTGAAAGTCCATTTGCATTTCCTTTCCTATGAACCACTGCTTATGTTCTAAGTCCATTTTTCTACAGACTGTCATTATTTTCTCATTGACTTTTAGGAAATCTTTATTAATTACAGATATTAGTGCATTATTTGCCACATATATTAGAAATACTTTTTCCTAGTCTGTCATTTGTCTTTTGCCTTTGTGCCTTTTTAGCACCATTAGAAATCTCTAATTTTTAGTAGTCAAATGTATCAATTCTTCCTTTATGGCTTCTACATTTTATTTCAAATTTAGAAAAACATTTCCCACTTTGGGATTATTTAAAAAAAAAAAATTTCTCTGGCTCTTCAGGGTTTCATTTTGTACGTTAAATCTTTGATCTATCCAGAATTTATTTTGATATATAAAAAGACGGGTATCCAACTTTTTTTTTTTTTTAGATAGTTACCTAGGCATCCCAATATTTACTGAATCCACCTTCTCCTCACCACAATTAACCCCTTCAAAAGCTCATCTATTGTAAAAAGATTTGTCACCTTTCCCTCTGTAAATAGCTGTCATTACTAAAGGAACACAGAACTCATGTGAAGAAATTATACCTGCTTCAGAAACTGCAGTGTAATGGACTGCTTTTGTGTGGCTTTTCTCTCCATGGTCTTGTAACTCCCATCCAGGTGATTGGGTGGGACTGTGCAGATATGTTAATTGTGGCCCACTAAAGGGATTGGTCAGTTTTGCCATCCCACTGGGCTTGAAATGAGCCACCCTAGAGGCAGGAAAGAGAGAATCCCACCACCACCAAGGAAGAACAGTCAGGACCCAGCACACCCTTTGGACCCAGAATCCCTGTGCTGAGAAGCTCCTGGAAGCAAGAGACTGAGAGAGAGAGAGCTGTAAACCTAAGACGCTGAGAAGTGGTGGCAAGAGACACCCAGTAGCAGAGACTCAGCAGTGGGAGATGGTGCGGTGGGCTTCCCGGCCCACATAGGAAGAAAGCTGAGTGCCTTTGAGCGGAGGCCTAGGGCCAGGGAGAGGCGTGCCAGTGACCACAGCTAAGAAGAGGTTGTCCTGATGGAAGAACTGTATCCTGAGCATTTCTGAACCTGAATTGTAACCTATTACTTTCCTGATAAATTTGATAATTATGGGAGCCCTGGTGGTGCAGTGGTTAAGAGTCTGGCTGCTAACCAAAAGGTCGGCAGTTCGAATCCACCAGCCACTCCTTGGAAACCCAATAGCGCAGTTCTACTCTGTCCTATAGGGTCGCTATAATCATATTGTCTGTGAGTTCTGTATGGCCACTGCAGTGAATTACTGAACCCAAGAGAGAAGCAAAGAGCGCCATGGGAGGGACGGTTGGTGTCAGAACTGGTAAAGATGGCGGAAGGAGAAGGCTTGTCTGACCTCCACTTCATAGGAATCAGCCTTGGGCTGTTGATCTTGATTTTCATTTTCCTTCCCCCTTGTGAAGTTAGAGAAGGTCAGATGCCACACCCACACCATTTTTACAGATACACTAGTGGACTGCTATCTTCTCTGAATAACACAAAGCAACATTTCAGCCCAGCACATCTCCAGGTGGCCTAACTGGCTTGACAGTCATCATTTCATTGGAACCGTAGCTATATGATACGGAGGGGATTGCAAGGTTTTATTTCTATTTATATAGTACTTAATGCGGTAGTTATCCAAACAATTTCTTTGACTAGCAGACTCCAGGCAAGATTCCCTTAGCCAGTGAGTCCTAGTCAATGTGCATGGAGAGAGGGGAGCTAGAAGAGCAAGTTCAAAACATCGTGGGTGGGGAGGAAGGAGAGAGCACGAAAGCCTGCACGGGGGAGTGAGCAAGGGAACCTGTATCTGCCTGGGTGCGTGCAGGTCATGGACTACTGTTCTTGAAATGGTCATTGATTTACCAAGGAGGGACCCTACAGATTGTCATTAAACAAGTAAGGAAAGAGCACAATTTGCCTACATGACAAAGTCACAGGGTTCTGGGACCCATGTCTCCTGAAACCCAATTCACAGATCACCAGGGTCTACTGGGACAGACGTCAGGGTACACAGCTGAGGTGAGCGGGCACCTGCTATTTCATAGGACCCACCAGTACTTGTCAGAGTGAGGGAAGCGGATGAAAAGCAGGAGAGGGAGAATCCTATCCAGGGCCTATCTCAGCCGGGGAGAGGACTGTACCACGGACCGTGACCAAGAAGTTCAGAAACTTTCCTAAGCTCTCTACAGTTGTTTGTTTCTTCATCCTCTGCCTATTTTCTACTAACAACAGTGTTTACTTGTCACTGGAACACTTAAGGAAGAGATCAAGATGAATGCCAAAGAAGCTGAGGTAAACGACATAGGAGGCTTCATCATGGAAAAGTTCCCCTTAGACATCAGATAGTTTCCTCATTATTTAGTAAGTATCTACTAACCGAACCCAACCCAACCCGTTGCCGTCGAGTCAATTCTGACTCATAGCGACCCTATAGGACAGAGTAGAATTGCCCCATAGAGTTTCCATGTGCCCTCAAATAAATAGGTCTGGCTATTAGGTAATTAAGAAAAAAAAAACTCTATTTAAGACACAGAACAAAGATTCACTGGTAATTTAAGGGCAGTCGTGAAGACTATCTTGCAACTAAGTTCGATATTTCAGTATGCCTTAAAGGGTAAGGCTGATATATGAAAATGGCAAATACTTAAGCTTACAAAAACCAAATCCAGGCATGAGACAGCATAACAGTTTACTTCCCCTTTGGAGTGAAGCCTCCTGTGTTATCTAGTGCTGCTATAATAGAAATATCACAAGTGGATGGCTTTAACAAGAAGTTTATTCTCTCACAGTCTAGGAGGCTGGAAGTCTGAATTCAGGGTGCCAGCTCCAGGCGAAGGCTTTCTCTCTGCGATGGCACTGGGGGAAGGTTCTTGTCATCAATGTTCCCCTGGTCTAGGAGCTTTTCAGCACAGGGACCCTTGGTCCAAAGGACGTGCACGCTCCTGGCTCTTCTTGCTTGGTGGTAATGAGGTCCCCATCTCTCTGTTCATTTCTCTTTTACATCTCAAAAGAGATTGACTCAAGATACAACCTAATCTTGTAGATAAGAGTCCTGCCTCATTAACATCACAGAGGTAGGATTTACAACACATAGGAAAATCACATCAGATGACAAAATGGCGGACAATCACACAATACTGGGAATCATGGCCTAGCCAAGTTGGCACACATTTTGGGGGGTAGAATTCAATCCGTAACACCTCCCTAATTTCTGATGCTGACTTCAGGAGAATTACAGAAAGAGCCTGGAGGTGGAAGGAACCTTCCAATCTAGCCTTTCGCAGGCCAAGTTCCAAAGAATATAGAGGGTGGAAAAGGTATTTGGTTCAAATGAGTGAAGGAAATGCCAGAACTGCTGTGTCAAAGGAAATTCATAATAGAAGAGAGTATGGAATCTCTTTTTTGCCCCTGGACTACTTCCCAGAACAAGGGTTCCATGATAACACTTTAGGAAAAGCTGTTCTGGACGCATCCTCTTGTTTTATAAAAGAGATTAATAAACCATACAGCTAGTTACAGCAGGGCCAAGAGTAAAACACTGCTTCAGTACTAACTTCTACTCTTTATCTTGCTCAGATCCTAGGACAGAATTCCCAGACAAGGGAATGTGCAATAGCTATGTGGTCCACTTGTTAAAAATACAGATAGCTGTCTCCCCAACCTATTCAGATTCAGCAGGTCTGGGGCTGCCTCCAAGTGTCTGTGGTTCTAACAGGAGCGCATGGAGCTGTGAGGCAGGCATTCTACAGCACTTTCTAAGGAACACTGACTATGACAGGCTTTCTAGGCTCCTTCCTCTCTAGGTCAAAATATCAGAGCTCGGCTGTAAATGTGATGACTGTAACAGCGTCGTTCTTAATGCGCAAACAGTACGCTTGAGCTTTTCTTATTTCCAACTTTCTGTAAGAGGTCTGTTAACTGCTCCAGTTTATCCTCATGTCAAAAAACTGTCATCCAAACTCTTGCAACCAAATCTTGCTTTGAAATGAAATTTCAGTCTTCTGATAAATTTGACTTTATTCCTAAAATATTACTTACAAAATGCAGAGCACTTTCAGAATTTTCCCCCGATGGTCAAGTCTGAACTATACTGTAACTCGAAGTTTACAATGAATTTATTTAGAATAAGTAAGTTGTGGTACTTACAACACAGGTAACAGAAGGCTTGACTGTGCAGTCAAAAGTGACAGGCTTCCCATAGACACAGGAGAAATTTGTCTTGCAGTCTACACAGTCGGCCGGAAGTCGGCTACACAAACCATTGCTTGGACACTTCGTCACATAAGGTGGGATTTCGGTACTTTCTATGCAAGGTGAGAGAGAAGCTTATTCTCTGACAATACTGATCAGAATAACAGAAGAAAACAATCATTTTCTAAGGTTAAGAAACATGATCATTAGCAATGAGATGTCAGAGGGTAGACTGTCTATGCTGAAAAGGTTCGGCATGTGACAGCTGACCAGCAAAGAAAAGAGCCCACCATTGTCTCAAAATACAGCTAGAGACCCGTGTAATGCTAAAGTGAAAGACGTCTACTGGAAACTGGTAGAGATCTGAGATTCAAACCCTGAGAACTTTATTTCATTAAATACAAAATTGCAAAAAAAAAAACCAAAAACAAGTCTTATTAAAATCCTTAGTCAAACCTGAGAGGCGGCTGTTACAGGTAGAAAGAAATGAAAAGATGACAAGGAATGACATGCGTAGGAGGATGCCCCCTGTCCACTGGAGGAGGGGCTTCCTGGATGTGCCACTGAGCAGTCACTCGAGTGCTGGTGGGGCCATGAGGCTGCTGCTGCTGCTCTGAGCACATGACTCCTTCATCCTTCAGCCCACACACTACTGAACACCTACTATGTTCCACTGGGACTACTGTGGTGACTAAGACAGACAAGAGCCTGCTCTAAACAAGTAAATGAGCAAAATTACTACACATGGTAAAAAGTGCTATGAAGAACTTAACAACAAACAGTGAGAGAAAGAACAATGGGGAAGATGTTTGCGTTAGCCAATAGGGCCTAAGACAAGAAATCTTTGAGATGATACATAAACCTGAAAGCTGGCAGTAACAAACATCCACCTACACGAAGTGTTCTTGGCCCAGGGAAGATGAAGAATGAAGGGCTTTAGGCAGGAAAGAGCTCAAAGGACTCTCAGGAGGCTAGTGAGAGGGGCCGAGAGGAAGAACAGAGAGGCAGGCAGGCGCCACGTCATGCACAGTCCAGCAGGGCAAGTTGGGGGGTTTGGATTTTCATCTGAGTGAGATGGGAAAGTAACCTTGTTGGATGTACACTTTAAAGGAGTAATTCTGGTCACAGGAAAAATGTGGCTATTTCCATTTAAGTTAATTAAACTTAAAAAACATAAAAAATTCAGTTACTCAGCTGCACTAGCCACATTTCAAGTTTTCAATAGCCACGAGCGGCTAGTGTCTGTCATATTGGGACAATGCAGATCTAGAACACACAGAAAGTTTCTATGTGGCAGCATTCAGACTGTCTCTACAGAGGAAATGATGGTGCTCGGGTTTAGGGGATGGTTTTGGAGGTGGAGAAAGGTAGGCAATTCAAATGTTCTACAGATAAAACTGGTAAGACTTGCTGATGAGCGGGATGAGGGGCTGAGAGAAAGGGAGGAATCAAGACTTTGATTCAAGCAAAATTAAGGAAGAAACAGGGCTGCTTTTTTGTTGTTTGACTGACTGATGTAGGCAGCAGGGAACAAAGAGCTGTATTTTAGATACATTAAGTTTGAGATGCCTATAACATCCAAGTTGCGATGCCAAGCAGACATCTGGATATTCTTTACAAATTCACTCTATATAAATATGAAGGTTTTGTGTCTAAGTTAAAACCCTAGTAACATATAAAGTGTAGCAACTTAGATGAATCTCAAATATACCATGCTAAGCAAAAAAAGCCAGATCCAAAAGGCTACATGCTATTTGATTCCATATATACGATATTGTGGAAAAAGCAAAACTATAGGGACAGATAAGGGATCAGTGGCTGTCAGAGGCTGGGAATGGGGGAAGTGGTGCCTACAAAGGGCAGCAGGGGACTTGGCAGGGTGGTGATGGAACTGTTCTATCTTGATTATGGTGGTGGTTTCACAACTGCATGCATTTGTCAAGTCATAGAACTATACGTTAAAAAGGGAAAATTTTATCATATGTAAAATATACTTCAATAAACCTGATTAAAAAAAAAAAGGACGCAAAAGATGTAAAATGTATCTCAGACTTAAATGAACTTATATAATCACGTGCCTAGTGTCATGCATGTATCATGGTGGGGAGGAGTTGGGTCTCTTCATCACTTACCATAAACAAACATCTACATGCAAAAAAGACACAGCAGCCTCAGACACGTGTATCAACTATATGTACTACTCTGTGCTGGGGTCTAGTCAACGAACAAGAGTCCGGGCTTCTGCACATTCAGTCACTAAAGCCCTAAGTGTACCCCTAACTACACACTTGTGCCATGCCAGATCCTGTTGCAATGGATGGATCTCATTAAAGAGCGGCTACAGTGTGTGATTCAAGTACACACTAAATGTTAAGAGGAAGAGTTATAGCTTTATCATCAAAACACAACATTGTTTTTTGCTGGGGGCGAATTTACAAGGGAAACAGTACTGCAACTGGTTCTTCTAGTACCTTCAGGAATACCCTTTATGAGGACTTAGGCTGACTCACTGTGCATGTCAGTGTTCTGGAGAACACAGCTAAATGGTGGCCTTGCTACACAGGAACCAGATGGAAGGCCAGGTCTACACCTTATTTAATTTTATAGTTATGCGGAATAGTAGCGATTGATCTCTAGTGCAATGGAATGGAAAAAGCACCGAGCTGGAGTTGAGACACCTGTAACCGAGGCAGGGTTCTGTCACTGGCCAGCTGTATGACCTGGGGCAAAAGCTCAAGAGCCAAGCACCTCACTGGTAGAAGTAATTAATAACTGTCCCCAAAATGGCTGTGAAAATTAAAGGTACTAATGGATATGCAATGTAATGCTGGGTACAAGTTAGGGGCTCAAAAAATCTACCTAACATTTTACAAGATGAAAAACAAATTTCCTGACTTCCAATCCTATGTTCTTTTCAGTTAATTCACTAATTTGGAAATGAAGCCACAGACACCAGCTAACCACGAATAAATCAGTATTAACTTTGGAAAATTTTTGTCATTATTCCACATTGGTACTTGAATAACATTTACATATTACCAAAGTTCAAAATAATTGTCTATATTAATAACCTGTTCAGAGGGTTGCAATTTTTTCCCCTGGCCAACTTACCCAGGCATACAATATATTTTCATCAGTTAAGAAAGGATCAAAATTGCAAGGATTTTGACGGAAGCGGGGCTTTCACAAACATCCAGAAGAGTCAAGAATTCTTATTATTTTCTCTATAAAATAATCTACATTTTAAATTCAAGTATGTTGCTGCCTCCTACTACTTTCTTAAATCCAAATAAAAATCAGAAAAACACCTCTGCCAGTCAATTCATTGAAATAGTGGAACACTGGAGGGATGAAACTACAGAAACAAAGGCTGCACTCAGCAAAACACACAAATGCCTGCTTAAAACTGGTCCTACTTAAAGTCATTATATTAAATGGGTAATCCTACAAAATACCTTCTTCTATTCTGTCATATTACTACTGTATCTGGGTCCTGGACACTTAGAATCACAAAGCCGAAATGACTTCAGGGTGTCAGGCTAAACCCATCACCTTAAAGATGAGGAAACAGAAGCTAAAAGGGTGAATAACTTGTTCAAGTTCCCAGCAGCACAACCAGATCTACACACCAAGTTTCTATACTTCTCTCTGTTATCCTTCCATTTCACACTGCCTTGGGGGAGCATTTAATAGCCAACATCAGGAACAGACTTCAAGAAGCAGAAGAAAGTTTCTGAAAGAAGCTTTGGTTATAAAGTTACTCCAATGGATAAAATGATAGAAACGTGAAATAAGGAGATGAAATGAAGACTGTGGAACCGCAAAAAGAAACGAGGCAGAAATGTCAAAAGGTATTCAAATAACTGTCTACAGAAAAACGTGCATCTTGCCCTTAGTTCACATAACCTAAAATAAAATATATTCAAAAACGTAAATTGATTTTGCATACTAAAAGACATTTTATTTTACAAAGAGGGAGAGAAACCACTAGATATAAATACGCACATTTACTAGAATACAAAATGTCTAGTGCCTGCTGCCCTGGGAACTACTGTGAATGTTCGTGCTGGACCCGGGTCCTTTATTGACTAAGCCAGCTGCTGCAAATGCTCTAAATTTAAGGATCCTACAATTAGAGAAATATGTTATCCTGGGTTATGAAAACTTTGGTTTGTGTTTAACAGGCAGGGTGTACACTAGGCCGCTAACTGCTCATGAAAACCTCACAGCTTGACTGCTCGTAAGACTGAATGGCGCAACGCCAGTAGGGTCAACACCAATTTAGATCCTTGGGCAACTAGGAAACAAAGGGTGGTACTGGGACCCAGTTCTGCTTCCTTGGCAGAGCCCCGAGCCCTCGGTGTCCCGCTCGAGGCCTCTGCGGCCGAGCCAGCAGCTCAGGGGTCCCTGAGCAGAAGGGCTGCCTCGGACAAGACCGTTGGGACGCACCCTCCGTTCCACAATCTACCTACGCCCTCTGCCCGCGGGCCCAGTCAGGGCGCCTCCCCCAGCTCCTGGGGTCGCTTCCGCCACTCAGCCCGCAACCCGGTGTGGACCCTGGCTCTTGCACTTACCACCGCCCAGCAAGATGTAGAACTGTGAGAGGAAAAGCAACACACAGCAGAAGCAGCGAAGGGACGACAACTGACCCCCTGCAGCCGCCATCTTGCCGGCGCGCGCACACTGCCCGGGCCGAGAAGCGGGGCTCGTCCGAGGGGCGGGGCCCACGGAACCTACGGCGCAGGCGCAAGGTGGCTGGGACGGCTTGGTCTGCTTCTGGTCGGATTTTCGGATGATGTCTGTCATGGTTCCACCTCTGCCTTGCCCCGCGGAGACGTTTTCAAGAGGAATTGGGTTTGTGGGCGGCCGCGACCCTGTGAGAGTCCTCTGTTCCCAAACGTCCCTTACCCTCTTAAACTAGAGACGCCCACCTCTCCTTCCACTGCTGGAGACCAGGAATGTCACCATGGGGCTGAAATTCACACTGGAAGCTACTGAAAGCTGAAGAGGGCAAATATGGAAAGTTGGCCACCATTTTTATTTGAACGGTTATATGTTAGAGATAAAAATTGTCATCACATGCTAGGTACTATGTGAAGGTTTTGATGACATTATAGCACTTAATCTCATACTTGGAGCCCTGGTGACGCAGTGGCTAAGTGTTTGGCTGCTAACCAAAAGGTCAGCAGTTCGAATACACTAGCCGCTCTTTGGAAAGCCTATGGGGCAGTTCTACTCTACCCTATAGAGTCGCTATAGGGTCGCTATGAGTCGGAATCGACTCCACGGCAAAGGGTTTTGTTTTGGGTGGTTTAATCTCCTACTTATTTTACAGATGAAGAAACAGATTGTTAGTGGGCCAAACACAGTAAGGGAAGCCACCCAAGGTTTGACAGGCGGGTTGTGAGGGGCGCACTCCACTGGACCTGAGGGCTGGTGCTGGTCGGTGCCCAGCAGACATCTCTGTGGCCCGCCTTAGGCCTCAGCTCCGGCCAACTCCTTAAAGATAGGCATTACTTCCAGAAAGTTCCTCTAAGAATGGAAGAGACAGGACAGATAGCCAGCAAATCTCAAGGCTTAGAGGGACTGGGACAAGAGCTCTATGAGACGAGCATTCAAAGCATGGGCTTCTCCCTAGAGGTGGCCAGCGTTGGGGACAGGAGCTGTACTCCAGGCTGTCAGGCTCCCTATGGGTTCATATTTCCATCACACATACTCCGTACTGTGCTGTTGACATGTTTCTCTCTTCCCACTTACCTGCCACAACAGCAGATATTGTTGGGTGTTTTGACCTCCCACTCCCTCACTAGCCTGTTTGATGAATGAAAAAAATACACAAAATAGTGCCTGACACAAAATAAGCCCTCAAATATTTGCTTAAAAGATTATGTTCCACAATTTGCACCATATAGTGCTATACAGCTCTGATATATAATACTATTTTGTTTACCAACTGTTTCACTGTCCACTTCCCTCAGGAAGCTAACTGTAAGTGTGTTGAGAGGAGGGAAGATGTCTTAAATATATTTTGAATTCCACAGTACCTAGCCAAATAAATAGGTACTTCTTGATTGGTAGCTAAATTCTCTATTGACATAAACCCTTTTTAATTATTCTTCTTCCTCACAGTTTAAATCTGAAATTCATCTGAGTCTATAAATCAGTGGAATATCATTTCATCAAAAAAAGTAATTTAACTCTAGGGGAGCAGCTTATTGTGGTATAAGCCCAAAGCTGAATCATTGGAAACACTGTGTGATGCATTTTATTTGGGAATTTAGTTTTTCTGAAGATGAACAAGGCAACTCTTAACCTACAGTGCGAACAACAGTAGATTCCACAACACTGAATTTCTTTGATGTTCAGAGTCCTTTGTCAGTAAGCCAATATTCAGCACTAGCTTTTTTGTAGTTGTTGGTTAGTTAGAACAAATTAGGCAATGATTCCAATTTTGGGAATAAACTTTATCCCCAAAGTGTGAGCTTTTGTAAAAGCAACCATAAAAATACCTGAGACATAATGTTATTAGAAAATAAGATATTTCCCCATATTCAAAAAAACTTTGCAGATTTTTATTTGAAGCCTATTTTTGAAAATCATAAATATTAGCAATGACATCTGATAATCCTCATTTCCTAGTATTTCCCCCTTTCAATGATAACGGTTTCCTATTTAAGTCTCTCAAGGCATTGATTTCTTGAAAACGTCCCAAGCTTCTCCTCTTAAATTGTCCTCAGAGCACATTAGTGAATTAAACAATTGGTTCATATCAGCTACTCATTCACTATCTCCTTTCTAACTGTGCCCATCAGTGAGTCTAAAGTTCTTAGAAGAAGTACTAACAGGTTAAATGGTTAAGAAAAACACATTTTCAAGGGTCAAAACAAGGTTATATAGAAGCAAATACAAGGAAAGGACTTCAAAAGTCTTCCTCTGCATTCAGTGTACGTGAATTCTTGAGATTCTTCAACTTATCCATGGCAGAAGTTACGGAAATCTCTCCATGAATTTTGTTGTCTCTTGTTCGAACATTTACAGCATTATTTGTCTTTTCCTTTTCTCCAACCACTGTAGAAAAGGAAGGGAAATAAACATTTTAAATTAGCAATTTAACAGTAAAACAGCAGTCATATGACACTGCATCTCATTAGTTGAGCTTTTCTTCAGAATTAATCACTAAATATCAATCTAAGGGCCAACAGGCTAATCCTCTGATTATAAGTTTCTTGAGAGAAGGAATGACTTCTAACACCATCTCTCTACTGTCCACTTGAAAGAACAGCTATTGTGGTCTTGGGGTATAAATAGGGGCTGCTATTCTTTTATAGAAGCCCTGGTGGCACAGTGGTTATGAGTTCGGCTGCTAACCAAAAGGTCGGCAGTTTGAATCCACCAGCCACTGCTGGAAACCCTATGGGGCAGTTCTACTCTGTTCCGTGGGGTCACTATGAGTCGCAATACACTTTACAGCAATGGTTTTTTTTTTTTGTTTTTTTTTGGTATTCTCTTACAAGGAGCTCTGGGGATGCAGTGGTTAAGTACTTGGATGCTAACTGAAAGGTAGGTGGTTCGAACCCACCAGCCATTCTGTGGGAGAAGGATGTGGCAGTCTCCGTCTATAAAGATTTGCAACCTTGGAAACCCTATGGGGCAGTTCTACTCTGTCCTATAGGGTTGCTATGAGTCTGAATCAACTCGATGGCAGTGGTTTTGGGGGATTCTCTTACAGAGTCCCTGGGTGGTGCAAATGGTTAATGCACTTGACTGCTAACTGTAAGGTTGGATGTTCAAGGCCACCCAAGGCCACCCAGAGGCACCTCAGAGGAAAGGCCTGGTGATCCACTTTGAGAAAAACAGCCATTGGAAACCCTATAGAGCATGGTTCTACTCTGACCATGAGTCAGAACTGACTCAAGAGCAACTTTTTTTTTTTAATTCTCTTACAGACTCCCTTGACTCCACCTGGCATACTTGCTGAGTCAAGGGGTGGACACCAGACCCATGCCAGGACAACAGGAATTTTCTGGAATGTAAGTAAAAAGTTTGTTCTCTCTAGTGGCCCATAAGGAGCCCTGGTGGCAGAGTGGTTAAGTGCTTGGCTGCTAACCGAAAGGCTGGCAGCTGGAATCCATCAGCCACTTCACCGGAGAAAAAACCTGTGTCATGGATTGAATTGTGTCCCCCCAAAATATCTGTCAACTTGGCTGGGTCATGATTCCCAGTATTGTATGACTGTGTACCATTTTGTAAGCTGATGTGATTCCTTTATGTGTTGTAAACTCTATCACTATGATGTAATAAAATGGATTAGCAGCAGTTATACTGATGAGGTCTACAAGGTTAGATAGTGTCTTAAGCCAATCTCTTTTGAGGTATAAGAGAGAAGTGAGCAGAGACACGTGGGAACCTCATACCACCAAGAAAGCAGTGCCAGGAACAGAGCACGTCCTTTGGATCTGAGGTTCCTGTGCTGAGATGCTCCTAGACCAAGGGAAGACTGATGCATCACAAGGACCTCCTTCCTCCTGAGCTGACAGAGAGAGAAAGCCTTCTCCTGGAGCTGATGCCTTGAATTTGGACTTGTAGCCTACTAGACTGTGAGAGAATAAATTTCTCTTTGTTAAAAGCCATCCACTTGCAGTATTTCTGTTATAGCAGCACTAGATGACTGAGACAACCTAGCAATCTGCTCCCATAAAGATTACAGCCTAGGAAACCCTATGAAGCAGTTCTACTCTGTCCTATAGGGTCACTATGAGTCAAAATTGATGAGACTGCAACAGGCTGGGTTGTGACCTGTACTGTGAGATGATACAGGAATCTGCAGCCATGTTTCTTGCCATGTGGAAGAAATTGGTCAGCAGATAAGGAGAATAAAGTAGATATTTAAGACAAGCATAAAGAACCAGGGAGAAACAGGGACTAGAAACGGGGAGAAACAGTCCTGGTAAGGGTTGAGCTCCTGGTTGCAGTTGTTCTTTTAATGTTTTTTTTGTTTGTTTTGTTTTGTTTTTAACTCTACCTTTCATTTCATAAGATACTCCAATACCCTTCTAAAAAAAATTCCATTTCTGTCTAAGCTAATTTGAAAGTTCGGTCACTTACCATAAGAAGCCTGATTGGAACACCACAATATCTACTACAGAGAGAAACATCAATGAAAAATTGTTGATGAGGACAACTCTATGCATATTTATTTTTCCTTCTACAGAATCTCTCAGCTTACAGAAGATATCAATACCATATCCACAAGGCATATCAACATCAGTTTCTCTTGATTTCTGAATCATCTTTAAAGCCAAAACTTTAGTTTCTGCATTGTTACTCACTGCTGAATTATTATTCTTTATGCCCCAAGAATATTTATTTTTTCACCTAAATTCTCTTCTTTTGATCATTCTAAATTTGAAATCTTTTCCATTCATTAGTTTAATTCCAAAGATTTCTAAAACCAAAAAACCAAACCCATTGCCATTGAGTCGATTCTGACTCATAGAGACCCTATAGGACAGAGTAGAACCACCCCACAGGGTTTCCAAGGAGTGGCCAGTCAATTTGAACTGCTGACCTTATGGTTAGCAGTTAAACTCTTAACGACTGCACCCCCAGGGCTCTGGCAAAGATATCTAATATAACAAAAAGAAGACAAGGGAAAATATCTCAGCGCTGACATGTAGCTGAAACATAAGGAGTATAATTCTATTGATGAGATCTTTTCACATCTTTTTTTTTTCATTGTTGGTTTGAGATATTATTATTTACTATTGCAAATAATACTATACAACAGGATTCTTGTGAAACTTTCTAACCTTCTTCTAGCAAATAAAAATGAGTTCTTAGGAACAGCTAACCCAGGGCACCACAGACTCTTTTTTGTGTGTAAGTATTAAATAAACTTGTGATAATCAAGAAGTTATATAATATCCCTTATTTTGTTAGTATTTTGGAATTACAGTGAAAAAAAAAGGGCATTTGGAAAAATATGTAGAAACTTAAATTACCCAAAATGAAATTATACTGAGCCAGCTGTGCATTTCGTATTTTCTTATTTAGTGTACAACTATCATCTAAATCAACATCGGCCATAAATCCTTCTTCAAAAAATTCACTGGATACCTAGAAGAAAATAAAACACTTATCACTACGTTATTTGTGGTAGTCAGCCTCCAAGATGACTCCAGTGTTCCCCACCTCCTGGTATTCACACCCTGTGTAGTTCCCCCGTTCCCTCCACATTGGACAAAGTTGGTCTGTGTGACCAATAGAAAAGAGAAGAAGTGAGAATGTGCCACTTCTGGGATGAGGTTATAAAAAACTGCAGCTTCTGTCTCTCAACTGTGGTAAACCAGCTGCCAAGTTGTGAAGATACTTGAGCAGACCATGGAGATGCCCATGTTGTGAAGAACTGAAGTATCTGGGCAACAACCAGTGAGGAACTAAGACCTGCCAACAATGATGTGAGTGAGTCCCAGACATCTGCAGCCCTGTCCAACAGCTTGACAACTTCATGAGAGACCCTGAGCCAGAATCAACCAGCAAAGCTGCTCCCAGATTCCTGACTCACAGAATCTGTGAGGTAATGTTTGTTGTTTCAAGCTCCTAAGTTTTGTGGTAATTTGTTATCCAGCAAGAGATAATAAAACATTCTACCCTAATAGAGCCATGTGAGAAAGAGTATTTAAATATAAGATATTTAAAACGCTAATTTTTCAAAAACATTAAGAAACAATATAGTTATGATACAGCTACACAGACACTCAAATCAGACTAAAGGTGTTACTCCCTATTACTGAACACATGGGTTGTTAAATTAATGTGTCAGTTATGCAGTGTTTTAAAGCATGAATGACATTCCAAGTCAATGACCTCCATAGAATATAAGCCAAGATTATTAGGTACTATGCTTTAAATGTCTCTGCTTTTACCTGGAGTGCGTATTTTTCACAAGTTGGCCCCACAGGGATGACCATTACCTGACGAGGAGACAGCCAGAAAGGCCTGAAAAAATATATAAAATATGTATTTTCAAAATCTAATGATGACCACTTATTATATGATTAAAAATAACAAAAGATTTTTCTTAAAGACTCCACAAGAGAGCAGTTGCAGTAGAGTGATGGGGAAGAAAACCAAACTATATTGAAAGATAAAATACAGTAGGGTAGATAAAGGGGGAAATTTCAAATTTTTATTGGAAAAGGGAGGGAAGAATGGATTGGCAGATAGATGGAAGAGCTAAACCCGCACTTAGCATAAAACCAGCAACTGTACTCCTGAGCATTCATCTCAGAGAAATGAAGACTTCACACAAAAACCTTCCACAAATGTTCCCAGCAGCTTTACTTCTAATAGCCAAAAACTAGAAATACCCCAAATGTCCTTCAACAGGTGGAAGGTTTAACAAACTGTGGTGACTTAAGAATAAATATATAAATACATACATTCCCTGGAATACTGCTCAGCAATAAAAAGGAACAAACCACTGGTACACACAGCAACTTGGATGAAACTCAAGGGAATTATGCTTAGTGAAAAAAGGCAATCTCAAAAGGCTGCATACTGTATGATTTCATTTATGTAACATTCTTGAAATGACAAAATTATAGTGATAGAGAGAAGATTAATGATTGCCAGGAGTTAGGGACGAGGGTGGGGCGGGGGATGTGTGGTAATAAAAGGATAGCATGAGGGGCCCTTGTAGTGATAGGACTTTCAGGTATCTTGACTGGTGGTGGTTACACAAATCTATACATGTCATAAAATTTTTAGAACTAAATATATATACACACACAAATGAGTGTAAGTAAAACTGGTAAAATTTGAATAAGGTTGGTGGATTGTGATACTGTATACAGTTTTACAAGATGTGACTACTGGGGGAAAAGTGGGTAACGAGTACACTGGACCTTTCTGTTTTATTTCTTACAACTGCATGTGAATCTACAATTATCTCATAACTAAATGTTTAATTAGAAATAAAGAAGGAAGATGGGTCTAAGCAATGTTTGTAATAGGAAATGCTTGCCTTCTTCATCATAATGAGTATTTAGCTTAAAGCTGGAAGGAAATGCAATGGAGACTATTACCAGATGGCACTTTAAGAATGTATATATTTATACATTTGTTCTTAAATTACAAAAGCAAAATAATAACAATGATAAAACAGAAGCATACTGTATAAAAATGAAAAGTAAATGTTTCCTTCTGAGCTCTGTCCTCACCCCACCCCCAGTCCTACTCTCCCAAGAGAACCATATTTTAACCATTTCTATTATCAGTTCTTCAGGAGACTTCCACCATAACACTGAGAGGTATGTGAATTCCTGATTTATCAACTGAGGAGAGTATTATTAACTCCCTAAAATGAAGGATGACACATTTAGTGCATTTACACCATCTCCTGTCTCCCACTCCATCTTTATTGTTAGTTTTTTACCACTCTCACCGCTACCACTCTGGCGCAAGAAACAACCATCTCTCACCTATGTTATTTCCCATTTCTTTTAAATCTGAATCAACTTGAAAGAAATATAAACATGTTAAACTCATAATTATAAAGCGTACATATTCATAACTATGCTTTTTGCTTATGTGTAACTTTACTAGCTTAGGAAATTCTATGAAACCCAAGTATATTTCTCTAAGATCCCAAATAAAATATAAAGGATACACATACCCTAGTTGGCCAGGACCTTTTGAACACTATGCTTGGGGGAATTTTCGGTGGTATGTTTCCTGCTCAGAAATTTGCTTTCCCAGCCTTCCTAGATGTGGATACTGGAGTGCATCCATGTGATCTAAATTCTGCCAATCAGATATACTAACAAGACATGTTGATTTGAAAGAGGGTGGCACACAGAAAGAGGCACCATGTAGAATCAGTCCCAGCAAGGGTGCTGGAGAGACATGGAGCTTTCAGAGAATGATGGAACAGTGACCCCGGCAGCAGTAGCATCCAGTGCCCAGTGCCAACAATGGGAGCTGCAGGGACTGTGCCTAGCAATAGTCACCACTTCAGGGCAGTAGATCCTGAAGAGCTAAGCTGCACGATCAGGTGCTCAGTAGGTTTCTTAAAAATGAGATGAGAGGCAAAAGTGTCACAAGTGGTTGCTGGTTTGCAGCATGTTCCAAATCACAAGATGTGTTATCTGCCAGTTGGTGCCATAACTGCTAATACGGCCAGTTGCTTCTGAGTGCTTCTGAGGGGAATCCCATCATGTTGGCTCACTGCCTTACTTCCTTTGCTACAAAATCACTTCCATGGTCAGAAGCATTGTGTCTTTCTGATGGTGAATAAGGCGTACATGGTACAGAAGCATGACAGGAAACAAGAGCAAAGCAAAATCCAGAATAAGTATCTTTTTTGGTGAGGACAAATCAGTGGCCCTTCATGATGAAAGAGATCCAATGTAATCGACCTGTCACCAGATGGCTGGCTGGTCCTCCTTGATTATGGTACCATATTAGGGGATCAGGATTGACCACTACTGATGGCAAATTGAGTCCTCAGATGAAGTGTTGCCAGATGGAAATTAGTGAGGGGATGTCCATGTTGTTGAACCTATGCACGTCCTATATCTCTGCCCTAGTGGCCACTTTGTTCATGGTCCACTGAGTAAGGCAGGAAAGAGGCTGGCAATAACAATAGAATGGGTCATCTTGTATCTGAATATTGAAAACCTCCTCAACAATGAGGGCCTTTTGATAGGCAATACCACCTTTATGACCATTCTGAGCAATCACCCACATTCTTCTTTCCAAATCTACTTGTCATCTATTTTTCAATCTTAAATTACTTCTAAATCTTTGACCTTGTGACCAAAGCAGTAACCAGAACACATGTATCAGTGTAACTCCATGTTTCTGGCCATTTTTCCTTCCAGGCAAAGAGGACTGACTACAAGATGTAGCACTCAAAATTCTGTTCTCAAAAGACACAAGGAAAATATCCCTCCAGAGGACTAGTGGACCACATGAACCACAGCCTCCACTAGCCTGAGCCCAGAACTAGATGGTGCCCAGCTACCACCACCAACAGCTCTGACAGGGATCACAATAGAGGATCGCTGACACAGCAAGAGAAAAATGTAGAACAAAACTCAAATTCACACAGACACAAAAAAGACCAGACTTACTGGTCTGACAGAGACTGAAGGAATCCCCAAGACTATGGCCCCCGGGCACCTTGCTAACTTAGAACTGATGCCACTCCTAAAGTCTACCTTTCAGCCAAAGATGAGACAGACTTACAAAACAAACAATCACACACATGAGGAACGTGCTTCTTAGTCCAATCAAGTATACGTGACTAAATGGGCAACACCTGCTCAAAAGCAAAGATGAGAAGACAGGAAGGGACAGGAAAACTGGACGGACAGACACAGAGAACCAGTGGAAATGGAAAGAGGGAGAGTGCTGACACATTGTGGGGATTGCAACCAATGTCACAAAACAATTTGTGCATAAATTTTTGAACGAAAAAGTAATTTGCACTGTTAACTTTCACCTAAAACATATTAAAAAAAAAAAAAAAGTCTGCAATCAAGGACATTCCCTTTCCCCACTGTTATTCCTAAATGGGGCTGTGCTGTTGTAACCATCATCTTTGGGTTTATACCAGCATATCGTTCAGGGTCATTTGTAAACCAGGTTTGTATGTGTTACTCCTAAGTCCATGGTCACAGGGAATCCTTATGAGACAAATAATATGAGTTGAAGGAGACAAGAAGGCAGTACAGCAAGAGGAGGTACCTTGGCAGTGTCGACTTTATATTTTCAGACAACTAGATCTTTGAAGGTCTTGAAATAGGTGAAAAGATAACTATGTTCCCCAAAAGGTAAGTGGTATAGTATTATGCCACTGTCTTGTATTTTCTGATATGACAAATGCAACAAGAATTGTTTATTTACTGTTTGGATACTTGCTAATTATAAGACAGGAGCCTCTAATTTTTTCCTACTAATTTTATCTTTTGAGACATGATTTTTAAGAAAAATAGACAAACACTAATTCAAAATAGATCAAAGACCTAAATGTTAAATCTAAAAGCAAAGTTCTTACAAGTGTATGTAGGAGAAAAGCTTTGGGGCCTAATTTTTTTCAATAGATTATCAAACACAACAACGAATGCATGGGCAACAGAAAACAAAATGGGTTCCCGAAACATCTCATAAAAGTTAAATACTTATGTTCATCAAAGCACTATCAAAAGAGTAAAGAGAAAACCTACAGAGTGGGAAAAAAAATCTTATAACTGATAAGGGTCAAATATTTAAAATATATAGAAAACTTACAATTTGACAACAAAAAGACAACCCAATCAAAAACTGGGCAATGGATGTGAACAGAAATTTCACCGAAGAGGATATTCAAGTAGTCAAATGATAAATAAAAAGATACTCAACATCATTATCTATCAGAGAAATGTAAATCAAAACAACAATGAGATACTATTTCACTCCCACTAGGATGGCTAAGACAAAAAAAAAAAACAAAAAACAGAAAATAACTAGTGTTGGGGGGGATGTGGAGAAACTGGAACCCTCATCCATTACTAGTGGGAATGCAAAATGGTACCACCTTTGTGGAAAACGGTCTGGTGTTTCTTCAAAAAACTAGAGGTAGAGCTGCCATAATACCTAGCAATCCCATTCCTAGGTATATAGCCTAAGGACCTAATAAAAGTGACAGGAACAGACATACGCACACCTATTGGTCATTGCAGCACTATTCACAATAGCCAAAAGATGGAAACAGCCTAAGTGTCTATCAACGGATGAATGGATAAGTAACATGTGGTACGTATATACAATGGTTTTTTCAATTTTCAGGAAAGAAAGAAAAGATCAAAATTGATGTCAGAAGAGACTCAAACTTGCTCTTGAACGTCGAGTAGCTAAAGCAAAAGGAAGAAATGATGAAGTAAAAGAACTGAACAGAAGATTTCAAAGGGTGGCTTGAGAAGACAAAGTAAAGTATTATAATGACACGTGCAAAG